ATATATACTTAGGTGGAATAAAATTAATAATATTACTAGTTGTACTAGGGTTTAATTATGATGATATGATGATACCCTATGATGATATAACTAAAATACATGTTTTGCATTGTGAATTAATTAGCCATGTATTATTGTGTTGTGATTGATGTGTTCTGATGAGCAGGTGATGATGTATTGTTTAATGAAATATGTGTTGGTATATTGATGAATGATGATGCGATTGACTAGTTGTGGTCATATGTTTTGTGTTGCGCATCATGCATTTATAGCATTTGTCGAACATGTAGTCTAGTGAAGTTTTACATGATATAATCCAGTGAAGGTTGAAGGACACTTTGGTCCAGCGATGGCATTAATACCATACTGTGGATTAAGTGCAATTTGTGATGAGCTCTGGTTCCAAGAGGGAGTCGATCCTATTGGTGGGGATCTTTGGAAAATAACGATGACTAAGTCATTAGTGATGTTTCAGTACCACATGCATAAGTCTTTTGATGATGCATATTATAATTTGTGGCATTGTTAAATACTTGAATTAATCGATATGTTTGTTGGATATGTTGACTTGTGATGTTTGGTAATAAGGATTGTGAATTGACGTCGTGTTATATATGTAGTAAATGATTCCATGTTGTTGTTATTTCTATGCCATGAATACTATATCTATTACTTATGCTATTTATGGCGATTGCGATTTACCCACCCTGCCTGCTTGGAAATGTTGCTTCGAAACATGGGTAATGTAAGTATAAGGTTTGCCTAAGAGGGGGTGAATTAGGACTTTTAAAAGTTTTATCAGATTTTAGAGATGTTAGGATTATTTTTCTGGTTTTATGGTGAGTTTATGAAAGTAGTAAAGTACAGAAAAATAAATGACACAAGGATATATACCGGTTCCCCTCAAACTTCGAGAGTACTCTAGTCCTCTTACAACATGTAAGAGATTTCACTATAGTTAGAATAATGTACAACCTATTCACACCAATTGTGATTCTTACTATCTAATCTATAGGGAGATCAAAGGCCCTTAACACCTTTAAGATCTAAACACCAAGCGCAAGAAGAGCAATTCTCTTCAACACACAATTGCTTCCAACAATCCTGGACAGTAATATTACAACAAGTAATCTGAATTTTGATAAGAGTTTGAAATGATTATGAATAATATATCAATCACTTGATTGATCTTCTTCTTCAAGCATACAACTTTCTCAATATATGAATACGAGTGTTCAGTGAAATGATATGAAATTTATCTTAATTTTCAATGAAAACAAGTGCAGAAAATTTCACTAAAAATTCTGGTTTAGAAAACACTTGAATTATTGAAAGATGAGATGATTTTGAAATTATGAAGTTGTATTTGAAAAAGGTGATTTGAAATCTGAAATTGTGGGTTTATATAGCCTATATACAACCTTTCAAAAGAGTATAATTCAATGAAAAGATGCCATGGTTCAAGAACAAAATTACAATAATTTCCCGTTTCAAAAACATTAATTTTTCTGGCACTAGTTCGGTGGTAACCGGTTCCCCTAAGTGGGTACCCGAGTTCCACTAAACAACGTTTTAAAAAATTTAAAAATTTTCTTTAGGGAACCGGTCACCATATATGGGTAACCGGGTTCCCCTGTTCAAGTCAGAGACCAGAAGGAGGAAACATAGTAGGGTAACCATTTCCCCTAAGTGGGTACCCGAGTTCCCTAATGCAGAAATGAAAAAATGATTTAGAAAAGGATGTGAAACAAAAAGGTGTGAGTTCTAAAACATATTTGAAGATTTATGGCATGCATGAAATATTATTATGAACACTTGTATGCATATAGAAAGGTTGAGTGCTATATACATTGACACTTGATTTGTCCACCATATATTTCTTCAAGACTTTGATACTTTAGACTTGTTTTAAATGTCTTGACTTGAGCCATTCCATTTTGCAATCAAGGATAATTTGTCTTCATCAGAACTCTTTAGGAAGCTTGACTTCACAGGTAACTTGCAGGTAATCAAGATTAGTTTGCAAAAAGCTTAGGAGGTAGCCTTGGCGTGCGCTTATTTAATTTTGTTGAGTCCAGTGGGTCTTAATCTAATATGTAATATCGGGGCTGGGGTCATTTATTTTAGAACCACCGTGTTCTTTATTATTTGGATATTATTTTTGAATTACCATTTGTGGTATTTAAATGGTTTTTGAAACATGATTTAAAGATGACGAAGTGTGATAAAGTTTTATGAAGTATTTATTTTAATAAAGATGTTTTGAACTATTGGATCCCTCTGCATTATGTAAAGTACTACAAGTTGATGGTAAAGCACCATCTGAGTAATAAAATGTTTTTATATCCCGTGTTACGGAGCATGATTATTTGTCTTGTGAGCTTATGTAAAGATGTGGCACCCTTGTTGGTTAATTACTCTGATTTAATTTATGAATTTATTCTTGATTATTCTTGATGGATAGAAGGGTGTTACAGGTTTCACTCAGAAAGAAAGTGTAGACTTTAATGATGTGTTCTCTCATGTTGTGAAGCATAGATCCATTCGAATGTTGCTTGCCATGGTGGCACAGTTCCACCTTGAACTGGAACCAATGGATGTGAAGACTGCATTCTTGTATGGTGATCTAGACGAAATAATCCTGATGAAGCAACCTGAAGGGTATGCCGAAAGGGGAAAAAAGATTATGTGTGCAAGCTAAAGAGATCTTTATATGGGCTGAAACAATCTCCTCAATAATGGAATAGGAGATTTGACAAGTTCATGGCACACATAATTTTCATTAGAAGTCAGTTCGACCACTGTGTTTATTTCAGATTTCGACCTGAAAATTCATTTGTTATTTTGTTGCTTTGTGTGGAAAATATTCTCATAGAAAGCAACAATGTCGAAGATGTAATGAGGGTGAAGGATGAACTCAATAAGGATTTCGATATGAAGGATCTGGGAGCTGCATCCAGGATTCTTGGGATTGACATTCGAAGAGATAAAAAGTAGTCGAAACTATGCTTATCTCAAGAGGCATACCTATAGAAGATTCTTGACAAATTTGGTTTATCGAATTCGAAGCCCGTTGTGACTCCAACAAACCTTCAATTCAAGATGAGTATAGATCAACGTCCTAGTACTAATATCGAAAGAGCTTATATGAATAACATCTCATATGCTAATATAATAGATTCTTTGATGTATGCTATGGTCTGTACTAGACCCGACATAATATATGCAGTAAGTCTTGTAAGCAGGTATATGGAGAATCTTGAAAAGGCTCACTTGCAAGCATTGAAGTGGATTTTAAGGTACATAAATGGGTCTCTGAACAGAGTCCTAATTTATAGTGGAGCCTTTGGTGAAGATAGTAAAGCAGTAATTGAAGGATATGTTGACTCTGATTATGCAGGTTGTATAGATTCTAAAAAATCTATTTCTGGATATGTTTTCACTATATTTGGCATAACAATTAGTTGGAAAGCTACACTTCAAAAGGTTGTTGCTTTATCAACCGCTGAGGCAGAATATATTGCTCTAACTGAAGTTGTGAAATAAGCATTGTGGCTTAAAGGTTTTGCTAAGGACCTGAAATTTCAAGGTCGAGGTATCACTATTAAATGTGATAGTCAAAGTGCAATACACCTATCAAAGAACTCAATCTATCATGAGCGAACTAAACACATTGATGTTAGGCTGCATTTTGTCAGAGGGGTAATCAAGCATGGAGAAGTCTAACTACTGAAGGTTTCGACAAATCACAATGTTGCTTATATGATCACCAAGACATTGTCCAGTTGCAAGTTTTTCTAATGTATGCAGTTGATAAAGCTGCATGAAGAAAGCTAGTTTGTTCTTTGATATTAGAGTTTGTTCCAAGGTGGAGATTTGTGAGAAATTGGATCTAACTTTATTGGGTCGAAGAGTAACTTCTGGTTCAATATGATTTATGCATGTCATTGAAGTATGTTCACACGTTGGTGTCGAAGACCTATATACTGTAGTCGACGTGTGTTCTAGTACGTAGGTGTTGAAATGCCAGGGTTGTTAGTATTTCAAATTGTTGTGTTTGTTAAGTGCAATTGTTTAAGCTTATACTCTAAGTTAGCTTGTAATGGGTATTTGTGAAAAACCCATTAGATTAATATGTTAGGTTTATTATAAATAGCATACTAATCTCTCATTATTGCATACTACAAATCTTAATTTAGGGTGAGAGAGTTATTTATTATTCTTGTAACACTTGTAATATTGATCAAAGAGAAAGTAAAGAATAACAGTTAATAACCAATCCTTGTTGCTCTTCTTGTTCCCTACTTTTCTTAACCCTAATAGATTTCCCTCTAACAAAGAAATCTAATATACTTTATTTCTAAGGCATCAATTTCACAACACATACAAAATTAATGTCCTTGTTAAAAATATATCACTCGTAAATAAGGTTCGACAGTATTGACATTTCATTTGAAAAAATCATTCAATATTTTAACTTTATGATATACATATGCAACTATCACCCTATTATTTTTTTAATAAAAAATTAAACTAATAAAGATATGTAAAGACAAAAACTTAGAAAAAAAGTGACAATTTTTTTTATGAGTTGGCAACAAACATAACTTATATATTTTAAAAAAAACATTTTGTATATATTAAATAAGAATGTGATAATTTGATTACAAAATTATAAAATATTTCATTGATATGTTGATTGTGTAATAAAATTTTGTTAAATTGAATCAATAGTAAAAGAAGTTATGAGTTGAAATCAATTAAATTGTATAAACTATATTAACTATATAATTTATTAAATAATAACAATAATAATAATAACAATAATAATAATAATAATAATAATAATAATAATAATCTCGTGGCACTTCACATACACACCGCAGGCACCGTCATCTCCCTCTGAAACTGTTAGGGTTTGGCCACAATCGCAGCCACCGTCATCTCCTTCTGTAACTGTTAGGGTTTGGCGACAATCGCAGCCACCTTCAAGTAGAAACATGCTATACATAATCGGATTAGGGTTAGGTGATGAAAAAGACATCACACTCAAAGGCTTAGAAGCAATTCAAAAATGCGACAAGGTTTACATGGAAGCCTACACTTCTCTTCTCTCCTTTGGCCTCTCCCCAAACGGTCTCTCCCATCTCGAAAACCTTTACCGTAAACCCATTATTCTTGCTGATAGGGAAATGGTTGAAGAAAAAGCTAATGATTTTCTCTCCCAAGCTCAGCTTTCTCATGTTGCTTTTCTCGTTGTTGGTGATCCTTTCGGGTATCAAACTGAAACTTCTCTTATACCACTATCTATCTATCTATTTGATTCTCATTCAAACAATTCTATTATTTTGCTTTTCTTTTCTTCAGGGCTACAACTCATACTGATCTTGTTGTTCGGGCCAAGGAGATGGGAGTTGAGGTTAAAGTTGTGCATAATGCCTCCGTTATGAATGCTATTGGGATTTGTGGTTTGCAGCTTTATCGATATGGGGAAACTGTTTCCATACCGTTCTTTACGGAGACATGGACACCTGATAGCTTCTATGACAAGATTCAGCAGAATCGGAATTTGGGACTTCATACACTTTGCTTATTAGGTTAGTTTACTACTTGATTTTTCTATTCTCAATTTATGGTCAATTGATTGAAATTTTTGTGCCTCTTTCGTTCTAACTTTTATCAACAAGATTCATTGATTATCGAATGATTATTATAAATCTTTATAATTGATGGAATGGAGTGCGATGGTTATGTTTTAGGAAACGGATTAGCTAACGTTTTTGACCTGATTTAATCCATTAGATCGATCTCACGAACCAAGTTCTGACACCAATAGCTTAAAAACATAATCCCTTTATCCATGCTGCCTTGTTCCTACCGACACCCCATAACTCCGTCCACCGTCACCCCATAATTTGTTCGGATGACAGAAAGTTTTCAGATGATGAAAATCTCTGAACTTGCATAGCCTGGTCAGCGGCATTCAAATGTAAGTTTTTTAGTGGCTCTACAATTTCATTGGAAGTTGATGAAAGTTCTGCTGCCAAATTTGTCAAAAGAAATGAATCCTCTAGTCTAGAACTTAGCTGCATATGGTGCACTTCAGTGCAGTCAACCGTAGATAGCAGAAAACAACAGTTTGTTCAAATTCCGCTACGCTATAAGGTTTTCTAAAACACCACGAAAACGGCCGCGACAAAACAGTATCGAAAGATGCCGATACTGATATCGTTTTTCACCATTTTTGCAATAAAGAACAAATTGTCGTTAATTCACACCGCAAAGACCGCAATCAGTGCTGCAACACCTATACTGACCGAAATCGCGAAAGCCTTTACGCGACCGCGAACCTAGTCTTTATTTGACAAAGGCGATTTGTAATAAAGAGTCATGTTATCCCTCATTTTGTAAAAGGTGATGTAACTATATTTTGCTATATCAACTTTTTGATAACAAGTAACAACACTAATGTACTTACACTAATACACATATAATTTATAAAGATTACTTAACTAGAGGGAAAATATCAAAATGCAACCTTAAAATGAATAGTAGATTCAAACAAAACAAAACAATCACCTTTTGGCAAGAACTTCAACCTTGCTGCAAACATTCAGAAAAGTTGCCGAAGCAGGCGCGAGAGCGTGAGATGAAGAAGATGACAGCATTAGAGGGGCTTCTTGGTTCTTAGGAAAGGGTACTAACGTTCATTACTTCTTGTTTAATGAGAAAAACTAACATAATTTTTACTTTGCTATGGTTACAGATATTCGGGTGAAGGAGCCTACGTTGGAGTCCTTGTGCAGGTTGGTTGTCTAAGTGGTCTTGCATTTTCTGTTGATTATGTAGTTTCTTAAGTGATCATTAATCATGTGTTACCAAGTTCTTTGAAATTCATTCTTATGACACAGTGATTTTTTCTTATTCATTGGTTTTGTCTATGCCTTCTTATTCATTATTTTTTTATTTATCTTTGTCTTTTAAGAGGAAAAAAAGCCTATGAACCACCTAGATATATGACGATCAACAAAGCCATTGAGCAATTATTGGAGATTGCACAAGCACGTGAAGATTCCGGTGAGTTCTTTGAACATTTACATTACTCTACAAATGAATTTCAAGTCTGAATTTGATTGTACTAATATAATCAATAGCGGTGCTATCCCGCTATGGGAATAGCCTTAGTGGTGCAGAACACCATAGCAACTGCTATAGGGTAAATAGCGGAATAGTGGAGCAGAGCAGTTCTTGTCCCGGAACGTTTTATGGCCGGCTATCCTTTTCCCTTCTAAAAAAGTGGAATTACCCCTTAAATTTACAACATTTTAAGGATAATTTTAGATTTTTCAGTCAAACTTGAGTTGACCTTAACCTTCCTTCATACGTTATCCTACTATTGAGGCCGGCCGCTCCGTGCTGCTTACCGCGAATGACTACTCTGATCAAATATCCATATTTGAAATTTGGTATGCAATTCACCTTACTTGCCAAAAAATGACGGTAATAAATAACACATTTTCAGGGTTTTTGAAAATATCATGCTATTGAACAATCGGAGTTCCTCCACGGGAAAGAAAGAACCGAACCAATGTGTTTTTTTACAGTACAATCTGATTAGAAGACAGTTTTCAACGTGTGAACTCAATTGTTTCATAAATGAGCTTTTTATTTCTCACAATAATCATATCCATCTAATTATAGTTGTATCTCATTTGCCTTGCAGCCTACACCGAAGATACCGAGTGTGTTGGGCTTGCTCGGATTGGAAGTGAAGATCAGATGGTAGTAGCTGGTACAATGAAGCAACTACAGTTGATTGATTTTGGAGCGCCTTTACATTGCCTTGTCATAACAGGCAATACCCATCCTTTGGAGGAAGAAATGCTGAATTTCTATCGATGCAGGACGTAGTCACAACATCAAGACATATGACCATTTAATCCAGCAAAATGGTTTTTGTTGAAAGGGCCCCAAAATCGTCCATTCTGTTTTCAAGGGACTCCTTTTTGGTATATTCATTACTATCATATCATCGACACAGGTTGCTTGGTGCTGTCAGAGGAGAAGCTGAATTTAAGTTTTTACTGTTTCTGGAAAATGTGAGAATGGGTTTGTAATTTAATCTTTTGCTAAATCCCTTTATGGGATCATTGTTAACTTCAAAGGATATTTTCTGGCTGTCATTACATAATTTTTTGGTTTGACTGGAAATGAAATTTCAAATGTTTGGATAGATCTAACAATGTCATTTTATGTTGATACTAGGATGTATAGTGAGATCAACAGTATAAGCTAGACATAGATCCCTGTATTTGAAACTATATTGCTGCTGGAGAAATATGTGATAGAGAGAAGATGACATATTTAGGCATAAATCTGTATTGAAGTGCAACTCTGTCAGATGTCATTATCATCTTCTTTAACTGATACAGGCATGGAAGAAACTCTGCTCCATGGTTGGCTGCTTTCTTTCTTTTGTGTACTGACATGGATAATATGCCCCCTTCTTTTATGGTCAGAATATGTTTTTCAGTCTACCGCTTACTATTTTCTTGAGCTTTAGTATGAGAATGACCAAGATAAAGTTTATTTTGAAACTAGTTGATAGTGTTAGAAGAATTGTTATTAATTGCTCTAATTAGAGTAGGAACGACACTCCTAAGAAAGGGAAGAAGACTGAAGTTTTTTTTTTGTGTTTTTTTATGAAGTGATTTTGATATAAAATATGTGCTTGCGATTTCAATATCTAAATAGCAGTAAAGACATTTTCGGATTAGCACCACCTTAAGATGCTCGATAGATTTGTCTTGTTACTCAGGAAAAAAAAAGCCCTTTAGTAATTGAACCAATATATTTGATTTGGGTTGGACTCATCTCTTTCCATAATCACTTTCACTTCTCATACACACTGCACGCCACCGTCATCTATCGTCCTCATTCCACCGTCATCTACCTCTGCAAGTTTTAGGGAAGGAAGAAGAAGGAGCACGCTTTAGTAGCAAAGAGTGTTCAAATGGAAAAATGCTATACATAATCAGATTTGGGTTAGACAATGAAAAAGATATCACACTCAAAGGCTTAGAAGTAATTCAAAAATGCGTCAAGGTTCACATGAAAGCTTACACTTCTCTTCTCTCCTTTGATCTCTCCTCAAACGATCTTTCTAATCTGGAAAAGTTTTAAGGTAAATCCATCTGTTGTACCTCAAAAATTTTCCTCTTTTTTTACTCAAGACATTTTTCTAGGGTTCTCAAATGTTCAAGGTTGCTCAAGAATTGATCAGATAAATTCTCCTCCTAAGTAATGGGCCCACAACTAAGGTTTCATTTTTCTCAAGAAAGTTTGGGTTTCAAAGGTCTCAAGTGATTTTAATGGTTCCTCATATGTCTTCAAGAATGCTCATACCAAGTTTCAAGCCTTACATCACAAGTTTGCTCAGTCAATGACTCAGATGACTAAAAATCATCTGTATTGGACAAAAAGTCAATTGTGGTCAACATATAGTCAAACTTCAAATTTTTGGTCCACATCAATATTTTGAAGTCGTAGTCATCATTTGATCAAGGGTTGATCGTGATTCATCAAGAAAAACTCTCAAATCATCAAAAGTCAAAAGTTGCCAAATTAGGGTTTTCTTAAGGATATAAGTCAACTGAACTTTGACCAAGCATAACTTTCACATACTTCATCATATTTTCCTCAACCAAAACTCATTTTGAAGGAAATTTAATTCTCTATAACTTTATCTCTCTAATATCAAGTCCAAAAAATGTTTCATTTGAGAGATATAGACCAATACATTATAGGTCATTTCAAAAGTCAACAAAAAGACACTTTTTGTCAAGGCAACTTACATTAATATAAATTATTCAAATGCTAAAATGATCAACATAGAGATTATAGAGGACACCTTGGGATTTCCAAAAAGTCCAAGATCATATTTAAAGGATGAAAATTGAGAAAGTTATGACCAATGCAAGTTGGAAAATTTTGAGCAAATGTATGAAATTTAAATTGAGCAAACTTGATATTTTGAGCTATTGGGCTATTATTTCAGAGTACAGACGTGTTCTATACTTCATGTACACCTCTAATCTTGATCATGTACCCCTTGATCTATTTTATTTTAATTATTTTAATTATTTTGATTTTAATCATTATTAGTTCAAAATAAATAAGATAATAAGAGTATTTTTAATTAATAAGAATAATTGATTAAGAATTGTTTTAATTAGAAAATTAGAATAAAATATGATGTAGAGACTATAAGGACAAAATAGAAATATTGTGGAATAAGTAAGGACAAAGGTGGAAGACTATATTAGGGGTCAAAGGGTTAAAATTGACAAAAGAAAAAGTTGGGCCTTCAAACTATTCATTATGCACAATCGCATTTGGAGAAGAGGCAGAGAGAAGAGAAAAAGCTAGGGCACAAAGAGGCAAAGAAGAATTGTAGAACGCAAAGAGGATTTAAAATCAAGCTCTAATCTAAGGTAAGGGAAGCATATCCTGATTATTATATTTGGTATAAGTATTAGATAATTGTAGGATTTATGTTGGAGTTTTTGGCTTTTGGTGATAATGTGATGATATCATTGGAATTGATGAATTAGAGGTAATAATTTGCAATAGAATGATGCCCATGGTGTAGAATACATAGGGTTGTTATTAGATGATGAAACCTAGTGTTTTAATGAGGTTTTAGGACCTATAATATGTAGAAATCACAAAAGGTTTTGGTCTGAATTGTGCACGAATCGTAACAAGAAAATCTTGTTCGCAAGGATTCGCCGGGCGAATGGGTTTCGCTCAGGAGGTGTTGGGCGAATGAGGAGGCGAATAGAGGCAGTGGTTACTGTCGATAATCGCGGGGCTAAGGAAGTGGCTCGTCGAGAGAGCGATACAAAAATAAATTGGTTAGCTACTGTCGATAGTCGCCGGGCGAAAGAAGGGGCTCGCTGGGCGAATGATGTCTGAACCATAAACATTATAAAGGTCGTAACTTGAGTTTCCAGATTCCGTTTGATGCGTCGTTCGAAGTATTGGGAAGCTAACACAATAATCTACACCAAGGTGGAATAAAATGAATAATGGAACATAGTTTTATAGTGTTTGCATTAATATGGGATGAAGATACCTTGTGATGATATAATAGTGAGCGTGTCTTTTTATGAATCGGTGTAAACATGTCCTATTATAACCTATTGTGTGTTTTCCTTAGGATGAACAATATGTTGTTATGAGGATGTGTGTACTATGAAACATGTGATGATGTATTGACGAATGATTATGCGTTTTGACTAGCAGTAGTCGTATAATTATGCGTTGTTGCGCATCATGCATTCATAGCATTTGTCGGACAAGTAGTCCAGTGAAGTTTTACAGGATGATGAATCCAATGAAGGTTGTAGGATGCTTCGGTCCAGTGATGGCCTTAATCCCATAGTGTGGATAAAGTAAAAATTGTGATGTGCTCTGGTTCCAAGTGGGAATCTATCCTATTGGTGGGGATCTTTGGAGAATAACGATGACTAAGTCATCAATTATGTTTTGGTACCACATGCATGAGTCTTAATAAGTTGCATTTCATTAATTGTGGCAATGCACAATGTTTGAATTAAGTGACATTCTTGATTGATTCTAAGTTTTTATGGTGTTTTATTGTGAAGAACTAGTAATCATTGTTATGTTATAGATGTAATAAATGATGTCATGATGTTGTTTTGTTGTTCCCATGCTATAACTACTATATTTATCACTTATGCTTGTTATAATAATTGTGATTTACTCACCCTTTCTGCTTGTAAATGTTGCCTCAAATGGGTGTAACTCGCAGATGATCAAGTTTAGTGCATGAAGCTTAAAAGGTAGCTCCATAGTGTATTTGTTTAGTTTCTAATGAGTCCAATGGGTCTTGCTCTGATATGTAACATCGGGGTTGGGATCGTTTAATTGTGTACCTTGTATATTTTTATTATTTTGAAGATTTTGTATTACTTTCACAACTTTTATTTTTGGATCGTGATGTTATGACACATGAAGTATGATGATGTGATTGATGTTGAACTACCTTTAATGGTATTGAAACTATTTTTATAAAGAAGTTTTGAGACTCTTATTTTCCACTTTGAAGTTTGAAATAGCTTGGTTAGTAATGCCAAAGGTGATATATATATATATATATATATATATATATATATATATATATATATATATATATATATATATATATATATATATATATATATATATATATATATATATATATATATATATATATATATATATATATATATATATATATATATATATATATATATATATATATATATATATATATATATATATATATATATATATATATATATATATATATATATATATATATATATATATATATATATATATATATATATATATATATATATATATATATATATGTATGTGTGTGTGTGTGTGTGCGTGTGTGTTTTGTAACCCGTGTTACGGAGCAGGATTGTTTGTTATATGAAGTTATATGAAGATGTGACACCCTTGTAATTTTATTTGATTTTCTTTTCGTAAAGTTCATGCGAAATATATGTGGATTTAAAGGGTGTTACATGGTCGATATACGTAGAGGTGAGTGTTCGACACAGGATAGGCGAGGTAGGGGTCGAATTCCCGTCTGGAGGATGTCGTGGACTTAGGATATTTTTCTGTATAAAGATAGATAGTTCGGTCGAGACAGTCATCCAAACCAAGGCGATTAGCACAAATGAACGTGATGTAGTAATCATCTGTTACCTTGCCTTCAACATGGAGACGTGTGGAAGTGGTTAGAAAAGATAAAAGGATATGTGGCATACACTGAACAAGAGCCCGTCATAAAGAAGTTACAACGATTAGAAAAGATAAAAGGATACATGGCATGCAGTGAACAAGAGCCCGCCATAAAGCAGTTACTTATTTGTACTATAAATAAAAATTCCATCATTATATTTAGGGGTGTTCAAACTTACTACCAAACTCACACAAAACTCAAAGTATCTAGTGAAGCGCGAAATGAGTCCTACGAGTGTAATGTACATTTAATCACCGAATTTCAATTAATGCAAAATTTTCATTCAGCCTCTCT